GACCCATGTATCTTGTATAAAGAATTTTGTTATACAATGTTTTCTTTGTCACTTCAAAAGTTCTCGTAATTATATTAAATTAAAAAAGAACGGATTAATGCATATAAAATTCAAAACTATCCTATTTATATATTTAAGAACTAAATCTTACATACTATAACGCTACATGAATATTGTCATGATTCGGATCGGGGCATAGAATTAACCAAGGCGGGTACAGACCGTCAAACAGCGTGAATTAAATTTTCTATATTTGTCTATAATTTAACAAATAAGTTGTACAATTAAAATTTCCTTGTTGATAGTTGTCTGCATCTTTTATAAATATTTTCTCGTCTATCGTTTATTTTTTAATAATTTAATTAAACTGAAAAATTCGTTAAGACAACTGTGAGTTAAACAAGCAATGAATACTTATACTTCTAAATTACAACAATACAAGGAAAAGAAAGAATAATATATATGTTAGTTAAGCTACTTTATAAATCAATATAAGCATTTAAGATGTTATTCACATGGATCTATATTGTTATCATATCAATATCATTTTATATCTATGTAATTGTGGCAGGAGACACCGTCTAAAGTTTTGTACCAATTAAAATACATCAATATCAATATAATTTTTCAATTACGTGCGTTGGTACGTTAATGTTCCCCTACTATTACCATCAAAAGGTGCTCCATCATAGCAAAGCATGCATATACAAGCAATCAACAGATTCATTCATCGCATTTAATTATACTATGTAAAACACACACTAAAATGCTTGAGTAAATAACTACAACATTTGCCACAATAATACCAAGAAAGAAAAGAATGTCTCAATTAGAATAAAACATCCACAATTATCATCAACTGTAAATATAGTTGAGAAGAAAAAAAATTATTACTATTGTTTAAAAGTACAAATACTTACCTCGATATCTATTAATTTGTCTTGATGTCGGCTCATCTAAAATTAAATGCCTACAATAATCGTGATATTCATATTAAATTTTAATTTATTTATTGTCTTATTACAAATTTAATAATTTTTTTATTATTATCACATTTTTACTTTTCCAATTATATATATATATATATATATAGATTCAATGTGTATTTATAATATGCTTACTAGGAGCACCACTCCCCAATAGAATTTACTTTACTTGTTTAACCGTATATGACATCTGCTATCTACTCATTCTCTGCAGGTTCATTTTTCCTTCATACATAGGGAGAGTAATACCCCGACCAATTATTTGTCTAAAATGGGCTATGCAAGGATCTCTATTGGCCACCTACCCCTTTATATGATTTATATGTTCCTGCTTGGGGATAAATTGGATTCCACATGCATTAGAGCATGATCTTCTCTTTATATGTTAAGGCAATTCCTGCTTGGGGATAAATTGGATTCCACATGCATTAGAGCATGATCTTCTGCTTCTATGACTTTTTCGTTTGTTGGTTTCTCACAGGTTCTCACTGGCTGCATATTTTGAGGCTATCACTGATTTTGATACTTGGTTTTGGCCATGTAGTTATCATGAGTTTTTTGGATCTTACTATATGGATGTACTGTTTGTGGTTTCTTTTCGGTTTCTTTTGCTCCCAGCTGTTTGGATGAGATTTTCTTGGCTTCACAACTCCCTTTGCAGTTTCTTTTTTGCTTTCTTTTCTTTTACTTGTCTCTATGGAGTATACATTTTTTGATTGGTACACTTTGGTTGGGACACTTGTATTTTGGAATTATTTTTTTACGTAGTAATGTGGGGAGAGGAGCCCCTAGGATTTTCATGTTTCTTTTTTGGGTTTTTAGTGGGGATCCTCTCTCCCTCCCCTTTTTTGTAACCCCTGTTTTATTTAACGCGTAGGGAGCCACGAGTTGTTCCTTTATTAAAAAATAAATAAATAAATAAATTAGTAAATATATATATATATATATATGT